TTTTTTTTTTTTTTTCCTTCCTTTTCCCTTATTACTCTTCACACTAAGAGAGATTACACTACGCTCAGTGGAGTTACAGGATCCTCAAGATTCTCATCACGGAGGGCCTTGTATGGATTGTGGGTGTACCGCCTTATGTGTGAAGCACTATCGGGTGTTGTGTTGGTGACCCCGGCGGTGGAAACATCTTCACTGATGATGGTATCTGGACTAGAGGAAAAGGAACCCTGCGGCCCACACTTTGATATATTTGGTCCTGTTAATCCCTCTTGCTGCTGCTGCTGCTGCTGATACTGATATTGTTGTTGCTGCCTTAAGCCACTGTCGTGGGAGATGGGTGGGTGCAACATTCTTTTTTCCGATGTCTCCTCAAACTCTTGTGCATACATGGAACTACAATTGCTGCTATAGATCCCACCACGGGACGGATGGGCGGCGAGAGAAAAGGGGGCACCACCCACCTCCATTCCATATGCGGATGAAGAGCGATTGTAGATAGTGACTGTCTCTGGAAGTTGAGAGAACTCACGCCATGCTGACATCTGGTGGGCCATGGGTCCCAGCGAAGAACGAGCGAGTCTCTCTGCTCGCACGTTTGACAGCATAGGCGGAAAAGGAGGGTAATATCGGCATGGACGCGGATTGGCAATATTCTCGTAGGGCAGTGGCCGCGCTGCATTCATATGATGCGGCGGGGTGTAGGACCACGAAGCGGCATTGGGATCTGCATACGTCGGGCAACTGGCCGGCTGCGGCGGCAGACCACAGAGTGAAATGCCCGTCGGGTGTGTCTGCACGCATGGCCGCACGGAAGCATGTACATCCCCAAATGTCATCTTTCTTGCTGTTGTTGCCGTTGTTGCTGTTGGGACTTCCAACGATGCGCGTCGGCGGCTGCGGGCGGGTAAATCTTCTGCGAGTTTCACCATGAGTGGAATGGAGCCGCTGCTTGGAAAGGGACGGGTGTTGTGCACACACTCCGCCGCCCGCTCCGCCGCTCCCTCGGCGAGATACGCCACAAACGCAATGCGCCGCTCAAGCCGGCGGTCCGCCACAGCGGCGGTGTCTTTGTGGATTGATATTTCCTTCACTGGGCCGTACTGGCGGAAGAGCGCCGTGAGTTCGTCCACCGTCACATCAAGTGGAATATTGCGCACAAACAGTTTGAAGATCTTCTTGCGGGCCTCACCAACAGGCGTGTCATCGTGTTGTTTCTTTGCCCAATGCACAGAAATGGTGCGGCCGCAGACAGACCGTCCGTTGCACTCGAGTAGTGCGGCCCGTGCCTGCTCTGTTGTGGCGTAGCGAACAAAGGCCGTGCCGAGGTTCTCACCGGTGTGTATATTACGCATCACCGCCGCTGAGAGGATCTCACCATAAGGGGCGAAGATACTTCGCAGCTCGTCCTCATTTACAAGACGTGATAAGTGACGGATAAAGAGGTTTGCGTGGCTATATTGCTCACCGTTGGGCAACATCAGTTCATCACCATCCATGCCTTGATGTACCATGTCCATTTCCAGTGGTATGAAGTCCTTGGTTAATTGGAATTGAATGAATTGATCGCTTACTTGTTTGCTTGTTGTTTCTGTTAGTACTCTTACTGACGCCAAATATTCTTTTCTTCTTCTCTTTACTTTTTTACTTTTCTTTTTTTTTTTAAATTATATAACTGTATTTGGGGGGAGAATAAAGTTTAGTGTTTGGCTGTAGAGAACAGTGGTGAAGGAAGATGTGGGAAAAAAAAAAGAAGAAAAGAAAAACAATAAAGAGACACAACCCAAGCATAGCTGAGAAAAAAAAAAGAAAAGAACATGGTTAAATCACTTACGATTCCATCCTATTTTCTTTTTTGTTTTATTTATATATTTTTTTTGGCTTAGTTGAACACTACTTTTTTTTTTTTTCCACAAACAGCGGGACTCTCACACCTGCACACATTTCCCCGCCACTATTATTGTTTGTTTCATTCTCCTTCTGCTTCTTTCATCGCTTACTCGTTCAATGTTATAGGAACTCTTTTCTTAATCCCTCTCTCCTACGACGGATTATCTCCCTTTCATACAAACGGATTTTATCCGATTGATTACTCAACTATGCATATATATATAATATTTTTTTTTTTCTTCGTGGAGGAAAGAAAAAAAGAAAGGGGGGGTGTGGGGTCAGTATCAGTTTCTTGTGAATAGGACACAAACGTCTCTGTTTGAGTGAGGAAACCAAGTGAAGAATGAACACCTTACAGTAAAAGCATATACACAGTGGTGTGGGTAATATGGTTTCACACACACAAGTAAAAGAAAGAAAGAGAGATATCTAAAGTAAGTAACAAGGTAGTTCTCTCTTCATTTACAGCACATCCCTCCCCTCTCACTAAAAGAAGTGTACCGTCTTCTTTGCGGTTTGGGATTCCTTTGATCGTTTTGCCTCATCAACCTCTAATACCTTGTACGCATGTCGTAACTCCTTCTTTTTGCTGCGACGCTCACGTTGTGCCTGTTTAGCCAACTGTTTGCGAAGTTTCTTCTCTTCCTTTGTCTCTTCCTTATCACGTGTCAGCATGAGCATCTGTGCATACAGATCAGGTACTTCTTCTTCATCATCCTCTTCTTCTTCTTCTTCTTGGGTGGATGACAGCAATGTAGATTCGGCATCACCGCGTCCCTTGCGTCTTTTCCCTGTAGGGGCCGCACGAATGACGTTTGGTTGATTAAAGTACGTTGAGTACGTCGATACCACTGTTTCGCAGTCCATTCGATTTGCCTTATCCTTCAGCTCCCTCACAATATACGCCTCCTCTTCCTCCTCTTCTTCTTCCTCTTCCCTCTCTCCTACCGCTACTATTACTGCGTTCCGTGCTGGGGCTGTTCCTTCGGATGTGCTCTTCTTCTTCTCCTCCCCCTCCCCATCCATCACGCCTTCTCCTTCTCCTCCTCCTTGTTGTTGTTGTTCTTTCTGGTAGGAAAGCACTCGTTCCCGTGCGGCCCGTCGTATCTCGAGTGTCTCATTGCGGAACTCCTCCACAAAGCGTGCGTGTCGGTCCGGCATGACGGTGGTGGTGTGCACCTCGCCGCTGGGGCTCATGTCGGTGCCGGCGTGCTGCGCGAGCGTGCGGAGTTGCTGCAGCAGCCCGCGGTTGCGGCGGGGGGCGGCGGTGTCGCAGTCCAGACCGGCGCGGTCCACGACGAACTCCTCGAGGGCCCGCAAGTACTGCGAGACGCCGGCGCCGCCGTACGTGCGGGGGTCGTCCGTGTAGGCGTCGTTGAGCCGCGCGTCGGCGTCGAACTCCCGCATCATCCGCGTGAACTGCCGCTCCGCCCCGCGGGCGCTGACGTCGTGCTGCGGGTACGACACCCCGCCGGCATCCCCCGCCGCCCCATCGCCGTCATCCGCATCACTGTTATCATCGTAGTTATTATAGTTATAATTATTATTATTGTTATTCGCATCATCATCGTCGTTGTCGCCGCCGCCGAGCACCAACTCCCGCAGAAAGTCGTCTGTGAACTCCACTTCCTCCTGATCATCAAACAACTTATCGTCACTCTCCGTCTCACTAGCAGCGACATCCTCCGTCTCTTCATGGTTTCTCTTCGACGCCGACACGGCGCCTTTCTTCACGTTAACATCATCATCATCATCATCATCGTCCTGCGCGCGCAGCATATTTCTGCGGTTCATGTACGCCTCCTCTTCTGGCAGTCGCGCAACGGCGGCGGTGTTCCACTCGCTGGCCCACGCGTTGATGTCTGCAGTCGTCTCTGTCCGCTCCCGGCGGCGTCTTGTCGCTGCAGCGCTCCCGGCCGGTAAGTGACTTCGCAACTCACGCTCATCCACCATCACAGCAGCACTGCGGCCCGGCTCATCAGCGTTAGCGTCCTCGTACGACTGTTGCACGAGTTTAAACGTGACACCCTTAGACCGCTTTGGTGGCATTTCACACCCTCCTTTGTTTTATGTGTAAAACTTGTTTAGTTGTTTAGTTCTTTAGATATAGATATGTGTGTGTGTGTGAATGTGTGGTTTCTTCTATTGGGTCTTTTACCTATTCTTGCGGCTATAGTAGTCGTGTAGGGGATCTGTGTGTGGTCTGTACGGGTAGCACACTGCAGAGAACGTAGGAAAAGCACACAGAGGTATATATATATAGTGTGTGTGTGTGCGTGAGAGAGAAAATGCAAAGAGAAAAGAGAGTAAACAAAGCAGAGTAGAGAGAAAAATAGAAAATAAAAACAACACTGAAAAAAGTAATAAGTAACTCTTCAAAATAAAACACACATGCAATGCTGGTTAGGGAAACCAACTAGAGTTCAACTCAACCCAATATAGCATGCTTTTCGCTTTTTTTTTTTTTTTCCATCCCCTTTTTATACTTACTTCGTTAACTCCTTTTCCCTAAAAAAATCTTCTACTATTCATTCCTCCTCTAGCACTGCAAGAGCGGCCCCATAGCGCTACACAGTTCCATTGTAACTTCAGCGTCAAGAGACTTTCAACACAAAACGAAAATAAAAATAAAAAACATTTGGCTATTCGACTCTTATAACGGACAAAACGATGTTCTGGACCCTGGCATTATAAGTGAGGTGACTGAAAACACCAGGATCCAATGGATTTAAAAGACCGTTGCTGCTGGAAGTGTTGTTACCCCTAAATAATAATAATAATAATAATAATAATAATAATAATAATAATAATAATAATAAAACATACGGGGAAGTTGTATGAAATAAAAGAGAAACCCAGTACTAACACTAATAATCCTGATAATACCAATTAGTAACAACCCTGGTAATATAATGACGATGGGTAACTACGCAAGAAAAAAAAAAAAAAATGGATCTGTAGAGAAGACTTAAAGAAAAAAGAAAAATACGGCGGTTAGTGAGGCGAGAAGAAGTGAAATGATAGTCTTCGTTAACTGTGAATTAAAAAGCGAGAGAGACTGATTTTCTTTTTCTTCTGTACAACAGACCCCCTTCAATAGTCCCCATCTCTTTCCCACAAACAACTGCCTGTGTTGGGAGAAGGGCAAAACAAATACGAATGAAAAAAAACAAACATTTATTTCATTGAAGGAGTTGTTAACACAGTTAAAAGAAAAAAAAAAAAATTCAAATGCATGAAAATATAGAATTCATCAAATAGAAACTCGCAGATGCATAATCTACCAATCAAAGTAAAAAAAAAAAATTTAATTAATAACGTCGGCTCTCGTAACACACTGTGTACGAAAATCGTGATACAATGCGAACAGAAAGATAGAAAGAAAAGAAAAAAAAAGAAACAAATAATAAATATTAATATTATATATATATATACGTTCCCGTCCGTCATTCGTTATCTTTTTTTCCTCGCTTTCATAAACTCTTTACCTCCACTAATCACTATCATTATTAATTCCCCCCCCCCTCACCCCTGCCTGATTATCTTAGTCTCTCTCTCTCTCTCTCTCTTCTTGGCATCTACTCTACATCTGCTTGTGGAACTTCTGTGAAAGCACCGTACAAAGTGGACGGGGTAAATCCATATATATATATATATATATACACATTGCAAAGAGTGGTTCAAGTGAAATAACGGAGAAGGAGAAGGAGAAGAAGGGAAAATATTTAAAAAAGGGGTAAAAGAAAAAAAGAAAAAAAAAAATGGAAAATCCCTCAAAAGCAATAAAAACAAACAAAAAAAAAAAATCATCATCATTATTATCATCACAAAGAAGAAGAATGAAAAACAACAACAGCCACAGCAAACAACAAGCTGAAACGTGAAAAAGAGACGCCAAAAAGAAAAAAAAAAAAAGGGTATCCCTTCACGACAGCCGTGAGCAAACTTTCAAGCACGACTATTTCTTCTCCCCAAAGATCAAGGATCAAGATGTAGGCACATAGCGGATTGGAATAGGAGTAAAGAGCAAAAAAAAAAAAAAAAAAAAAAAAA